TCTATGAAAAAAAAAAATCAATATACCAGATATAATTTTGGACAAATATCATAAACCCAAACCAAGAAACTAAAAAAAAAAAAAAAACAAAACAAAAAAAAAACTAATTTGTTGTCCATAAGTATAAATGTTCTTTAGCATCACAGTGAAAAAGTGACACATAAATGAGCAACATGTAATGAACATGAGCAGCTAATCAAGGATGCTCTTCAAAACAGAAAATAAATGTGTCTCATTAAAAGAATAGGATAGAAGGCTCTCAGATACCTGAAAATGGGTTGATCTTACAAAGTCATTATGAATAAAACACCTTAGGTTCTACTGTAAAGGAAAGGCACTGGGCTATGGCAATATTTTCCATTTTAAACTATTTTTTTTGGTTTCGATACTCTGAATAGCAAATTAAGACTGGCATGGTTTGGGGTTCTTGATACCTAGAGTCCGGTCCTTCTCTGAGGGCATTATGTAAGAGTTAAATGACAGTAAGAGTTGTGAGACACTGCATTACACTTTTTGTGAAATCTGATTGGTTAAAAATCCCTCCTTTTAGCTGATTTGGAGAAGTAAAGATGGTGAGTCACATGCCTCTTGTCAGCAAACCATGAAATATGAACAAATATCAACCATGAAAAATGAATATATGGCAGCTTTTTCTCAGACTAAATAAAAAGCTAAATATAAAACACTTTGTCCAATTAGAACATATTCTGAGATACATTTTAAAAGTTAACATTGTCAATGCCACCTATTGGTAAAAAAGTAGAATTGCAAATATGTTTTAATTTGCATAATAGAAAAGACATTGCAGAAATGTAATATTTAGTTATTGCTATTTGTTGTGACTATTTCAAGTTGAAATGTTTGCAAATATGTAATTTTTGTTGACTTATTTGTTGCTTGTATTTTAAAGAAAAAGCACTACCATTGAAATGAGTCATCACAGAAGGCAAGCAAAGAGAAGCTATATATATATATATGTGGCACTGAATTTCAGGATGGAAGCATCTTACCCATTTGCCTTTAAGAAGCAAGAACTCCAGAGATTTCAAGTTTGAAAATTCAGCAGTCTAAACTAATAATATTATAAGCTCTAACACATGGAATAATATTAATGAGCAACAGGATATCTGTGGCTAATGTGATTCCAGCATTTGTAGAATACTACTAAGCTTCACCTCATTTTTTAAAAAATAACAACTACATTAGAAACATGTCTGTGCCCAAGTACTCGGTGAAAAAAATATAGGACTCATTTGGGGCTTTTGAACTCCGAAGGTCATTTGTTAGAATCAAACCTTTAAAAAGAAAAAATAAAATAACTCAAAAACTTTACATTTATTAATTTCTCTATTTCAGATACTTAAATATTCATTACCACATAATTTTTATTTATATTTATAATACCATGGGGATGTACTAGGAGAAAGTAGCTTATGATCATTACAAAGCACATTTTAATTTGTGGGAAGTGTGACATTAATGTTGAGTCTTAACTAGTTCTTATGCTTTAGAACAAGGTTCCCTTACCCCTGAGCTGTAGACTGGTACCGGTCCGTGGCCTGTTAGGAACCAGGCCGCAGAGCACGAGGTGAGCAGCGAGCCAGCGAGCAAAGCTTCATCTGTATTTGCAGCCACTCCCAGTGCTAGCATCACCGCCTCAGCTCCACCTCAGAACATCAAGCATTAGATTCTCTTAGGAGCACCAGTCCCTGCGGCCAATAAGGTTGGAGACTGCTCCTAGAAGGTTTTAGCTAAGTAGGCTAAAACTCTGAGTTTATTTGTAAACTAAGGCTGCTTGTAAAGTTATTTTATTAAAGGTCTCTAGTGAATATATCTCTCTACATATAATAGGCATTTATAAATCATACCAGACTGAGTATATCATTATGGCAATTTTTATATTTTCAAAACGGCAGTCTGATGTAACATTTTTTATTCATACATCAAGATTTTATTTTATATTAACACACACTAAACTCTGCCAGACTTTAGAAATGGTTAAGTAGTTGCACATATTTATAGAAATTAGCACTATAAGTTTTATAAGCTAATATAATTAAAAGGTAAGAAACATGGTCTGAAAAAAATCACATAAAACTGGTAGGTACAGACATAATTCATAAAGGGATATTTTACATTACTAGATGAAAACATAATCATTGCACATAAGCGTAATTATTTCTTTGATGATTATTTCATATTGTGCTATAACTAATATTTCATAAAATAGCATTTGCTGCCTAAGAAAAAGGCCATTTCCTAGAACCTACAAATGGGATATCTTAAAATGGTCTTACAATTACCTGGTGACTCCACTTCTACTTGAAAATGAGCAATCATAGTTTTGGGGCATTAAGTCATAAACAAATGTCAGGGCCTTTGCTTGGAAGGGGGTTGTTATCATTTTTGATCTTGGGGTCAAAAAATCAACTCGGCCTGAGAAATAACATAACCACTTTTGAGAGTTCTTCAGAAATGGTGCCTGAGAGAACATTAGACAAACTGGCTATTAAGAAAGAACAAATTATATGCTTTAACCATTCTCTGACACACTATATAAACATAGAAAGGACTACTGTGTGGAAGCAGGACTACTATTTTGCTATCACAACCAGGGCCTCAATTGCCCCTCACCTCACCCTACCCCTTTCTGCTTTCTAAACATTTAGAAGGTTTTGTGTAGGAAGGAAAAATACCTTACATATGGCAACTCCTATTCGTTAGTAACCTAGTTAGAAATCTACTGTAAATTGCTGTTCACTATGCTACCTCTTCCTGTGGCAAAAAAAAACCAAAAACCAAACCAAACCAAAACAAACAAAAAAAACATTGTTTCTACTATTCAGGCAGGGACTAACTGAGCAGCTGTGCTTCCTATTCCTAGAGTTCTGTATCCTCAACTCTATGTTCTGGTTTTCCAGTTGGACTCTACCCCCTACTGTTTCCAGCATCCTTGGCCCAACAAATCACTCACGTCAGGAAAGTTCGTCAATAACTAGCTACAAAGTAAAAGGAAGTCCTGATGGTGGGTGGCATAGACACAGAAGATGGTGAGAGTTGACTACTGCTCTCAGTGGGTGTATAAATAGCTTGACTCACCAAAAATTAAGAACTGAAGGAGCTCTAGGAACAGTGCTGATACTTTGACCTCAACCACTGATCGTGCATGAAAATCTACTTGTTCATCTTCCCTCTCATTTTCATGGTGTTCATTTGTTCCTTAGAAGGCAATGTCTCCTAAATGCTTCAGTTCCAATAGTTTTATACAAAGAAAGAATGAATACAGGCAAATGGAACACATATTTACTCAAATTCATTCCTTCTTTGGAATTCTGATCTTTTGACACAAAATTTCAATTCTAAATATAATCACTGGCAGTTCTAGGTTTAAAAAAAAAAGTACTAAATCATTCCTCAAAGAACATCTGTTGAGCTAAGCAACAGACATCATGCTACATCATATTTTTCAAATATGAAATATCATGGAGACTAGAAAAATCAAAATGAACTTTATGTCTCTCTGAAATAAAGGATACAATGAAAGAAAAGAAACTGATTTCTAAAAATATGTGTGGCAAGTAGATTACAACTGAAATCTCCCATATTTAAAAAAATGAACTATATTAATTTAGATGTCCCCTTCCAAAAAAAATTAACATGCTGTCATAAAGAATACAAGTAATTAAGAGAAAGAAAACATACCTATTAAAGAACATATTAATACTAACCAAGTTTTCCCATAAAGAAGGCAATGTAAAGAAAAAGAAGTTTTATCCCATCACGAATTTCAAGCCTCGAGTTAAACTGAGAGGTAATGATGCAAGTCTTCAAGCATCCAACTCCATAAGAAGTAAACAGATCCTTCATTCTTACCCATAGGTCTGTTTCTGTCCCTGAGGTCCCTGTGGCTGGGGTGTCGATAGGAGTCCCTGTAGTGGTGGGCAATGGCCATATCATCCAAACGGTAATGCTGAGGTGGAGGTGGGGTGGGGTGAGGCAGGCCATTGGGCTGGTAGGATAAGCCGTTATTTGGACTGTATCGCTGGCCTGGGCTAATAGTGCATGGTCGCTTGCTTGGATGTTCTGAGTGCAAAGGCTCTCTGTCAAAGCCATTTTCTTTGGTTCTAAGGAGTGAGGGAGAAAAAGAGTTTGATTTGTAATGTGCTCAGAAACCAGCATAGTTCAGATACTCACATTTGAACTTGTAATATAAACAGAATATTTCTTTATTGGCCAGAAACTCTGTAAACTCAGCTTCTCAGAAGATCTATGCAAATTCATTGAAATCCATGTCAAGGCCTAAATGATCACAGGACTGCACACAAGAGAAAATGGTTCACCTCTCATCAAATCAGCAAACATCTTTTCAGTTGAAGCTCATGTGTTTAGGTATAAAATAGAAGAAGCTCAAATCTCACTCTGTTGATAAAATTTTCATTCAAAACTGAGTACTTGATTTCTAAATTACCCTAAGACTAAATGTATTTGGTGAAGGTTCAAGGTAGAATAGCATCACTCTCTTGACAAATTCTTAAGGTACACCTATTCCATTTATCCAACCTGGCATCATTCATGTCAAAGAACTTCTAAGAGCTGTGTTGTCTAATACAGTAGCCACGTGTTGCTGTTTAAATGTAAATGTAAGTTAATTAAAATGAAATAAAGTTTAAAATTCATTTCTTCAATACTGGCAACCATATTTCTGATGCTCAATTGCCATCTGGGCTAGTGGCTACAGCGGTGGACTGCACACATATAGAACATTTCCATCATCACAGAAAGTTCCATTGAAAAGTGCTGATCAAATGAGCTAATACGATAAAGCAATGCAATATCTGGGACTCTGACATAACCTTGGGTCACGAAGACATCAATCAGCAGTCATACAGAGCTAGCTGGGACTAAAAAAGGATTTAGGTACTTCCCTTTAAAGTTGAGAAAACACATGCCTAGAGAGCACGTGTGACCTCTCTAGAGTCATCAATTCTCAGGGTAGGACAGGCACATCCTGACTGCACTTGATCATGTGATACACAGAACTCTGAATTCGGCTTTCAGAAGGAATACATTATATAAATGAGACCTGATAACTAATCACTGTTCCTATATTCAAAACCAATTAGGGCTTAAGAAGTGTTTTTTGGCTGAATAGTTCTTTATTTTTAAAGACAAACTTAACATACTCGGTCAGATAGGAACAAACCACATCCAACTTTAACTGGAATCACAGCTCCCAAACTAATTTTTTACACAGTAGCTAGCTTTCCTCACAAGACCAGCACTCTATCATTAGAGGAGTAACATCTATTTTCCCTGCAAAATTTCCCCATAAGAATTCTATTGAGTCACAGCAGCTGCAGATTTCTGCATGCCTTTTTGATTTTAGGTTGGTACCAGCAGCAGAGAGGTCTTAAGACATCTTTTCTACTTTGCTGGCTTCCAGGATAGTTTTTGTCTGATAACACTGGAGAAATTGGAGTGGCAGCTGAATTGACAACAGAAATCATTAGGGCCAACGGATTCTACAATGAGCCATCCTTAATGTCCCTTGGGTAGCTCCCCAGTGACAATTTACACACACCAGATTGAGAAGGATAAAAGAGTTAAAGACGCAAGGTACAACACACGAAGAACTGAAGGAACATGCAGAGTTCAGTGTGAAATGAATACATGCCCACTACATCCTGAAGAAAGATTCACTGTCCTAGAAACAGCAGACTGACTAACACTGGAAATAACAGCAGGACATGGCCCCTGTGTGAGTGGTGGCCAAAAGTCTCAATGCTGCTGCCATCAAAGTATGTGTCTGCATGAAAGCATACTGACTCCATATGTACTGATCATTGATATTAGACTAAAATACCCACTATAGCTTGGACATTACCTAAATGCATTGCTTTAAAATAATTTTTAAAAGTGAAAGGAAACATTCTAGATATTGATGTATCTTCTAAGAGTACATCTATGTGATTTTAATCTGTAGTTCTATATTCTCTACATTTATGAATATACTTCAACATTCAATGCATATTACCAGCATCAATTAGCTGGAAACTACTGAAGATTATTAGAAGCTATGAACATAATGCTAACAGAGCACCTACCTTACTGGCAGTGTGGTGTAGTGGAAAGAGCTCTGGACTGGGAATCAAGAGATCTGAGATCTAGTCCTGGCTCTTCGTGACTAGCTGTGTGACCTTGGGCAAGCCACTTAACCTTTCTGGGCCTCAGTTTGCTCATCTGTAAAATGAAAGGGTTGTACTAGATCAGTGGTTTTCAAACTGCCACCTGAGGTGCTTAAGGGATTCTACAGGCAATGAAGAACTTCTCCCCAGTCAAGATTTAAAGGTCCAGTGGAACCCACTTACTATTCTTATCTGTTTAACAAACTGGGGTTCCACCTTAGGTTTTGTTTTGAAGGAAAAAGTCTGCTGTTAAAATCAAGTTTGAAAACCACTGGACTAGATGACTTCTGAGGTTGCTTCTAGTTGGAAAACTCTGTAATTCAGTTTTCCTATATTTACATCTAAATGTCATGGCAACACAGATTGAAACATACAGGGCTGATAGTCCTCTGGCCAAATTGTGTCTATGTCAACCACTTTAGCCAACAGAGGATTTCTAGGTTCTTTGCTCTCAACAGTTTATTACTCAACAGCTAATTCTTTGTGCAAAAATAGAAATTATCCTTTAAATACCTTATTGCTGCCCCTGTTGCATTCCTAAATATTGAAACATCTCTGGCCCAGTTGTGTCAAACCATCTCACCTGGTTTCGTCTCTCCTTGTTCAAAGACAACAACACATACAACATTGAAAAAATTCTTAAAATTTTCAAAATGGTTAGATATGTTACTTATCTTTACCCTCAAGATCAGCTATCTGATCAGTGCTATTACTTCAATAACTCATTGTTATGAAAAGACACTCCCCGCCACCCCCCCGCCCCCCAAAAAAGGGCAGTAATATCCTAAGTAGGGCTAGGTCCCTAGTCTATCCAGTCATTTCCATCAGGTCCTCATTGCCCTATCCTGGGTCCCATCACTCAGCTAGCTCCTGAAACAATAAAGCTCATCACCTCAGAGAGCTAGTTATATTTTAATAGTAAAACATTAAAATGTTCATGTTGAGGCTGGAGCGTAGAGAGATCAAAATGTCCTCTACAACCATGCTTTGTTATCGTGTAAATGCCCACAGAAAAAACTATGAAAGGTCTCACTGGTGCTTCCTCAAATCTACTCATGTCTATTCAAAGGATGTATATCCAGAAAGATAACTAAAACAACTTAATTCCTATTTATCTGTCTGCTTCTTATAAACATCTACAACTATCTAAACCTCATCTGCGTAGGCAAATTCCAGATATGTATGTTTATTTGTTGCCCTTTCAAAGTGTGTGAGGCAAAACTAACAAATGCTATTCATTGTCCATACTTGCATACTCATGAAATAACTCTAATTCTAGTACGAAGTCTGTCATGTCTCATGGATTTCTGGAAGGCAATTTTTGTATGTTTAAAATCAACACGAGGATATTCTATATCCCTAACAGTAGAAATTTTCCTGAACATAATCTAACCACATCACTATTTAGATCCCAATTGCTTCTCTCTCAGGGTCTGATGGTCTTAAAAACAGAAGACCACTCAGGACTCAACTGTGTGACCTTGAGATAACCTGGGAAAGTTAACATTTGGGATTCAATTTCCTGCCCAGTAAAATAGGACTGATTAAAAATACATGTTTAAAAAAACCCTAATGTATACTTTACCCCATCTCAGGCTGTTTTTTCCCCAGTTCCTCAATAACAGAGACTGTAAACTGACTATTTGTGAAAGAAAACAAATATTTTTTAAAGAACTTTCCTCTAAATAAAATACTTCATCATAATTGCCTACTGTGCACTGAGAATCCCTAAGTAACATTTATAAAAAAAAAAAAAATAGTATAACATTCAAAAATGGGGAAGAATGAAAAAACATTATAATAAGATCATGGCAATAAATAGAACAATTTCCTACATGACAGGACAAGGCATAAATTGTTTTCCTAGATTAAAATATTTTTTAAGTGGAAGGGATGCCACTATAAAGATTGTTTTAGGGGGAGGCAAACTGGTACACCATCATAAACCTTAGAAAGGCAAGGAATAAACTTCAAAATTCCAATCTCAGTCATGTTACAAATAAATATGTGCTTTAGGCACTCACTCCTCCAAGTTACCAAAAGTATTTCAAACAGAACATGTCCAAACTGACCTCATCTTTCTCTGGTACATCTTGTACCAGTCAGTTATGCCACCTCCTACCCAGTTACCCAAGTAGAAACTTGGAAGTCATTCTACAACTTTCTTCTCCCAATCAAGCCCTATTGCTGGCCTCTTCAGCATCTCTGGTACAGGTCCCTCTGCTTTGCCCCAGAACCCCTATATCTTGGCCTTTCCCACTCTGTCAGCATCTCAGGCAGATCTGTGACTCAGATGCTGGCAGTGTCTCAAAATTTTTAAAAACGCTCTTTTGTGGGGGAAAGAGAGGGCAGATTTTATGTCTATGCCTAAAGGATATAGATCAGGAGGTAACAATTCTATTTTTAAAAGCCTCAAAATATTAGTAACTTAATATTAAATACAACTTCCTTCCTTTTCTTAACACATGGAATTTATTAAGATTTCCATAGAAGGATTTGACACTGAATCAAGGTGGGGGGTGGTAATCATTCTTACCACATTCTCAAAACAATTCAGTAAAAGTTCTCTTCATTGTTAGAAACTAGGTGAGTTTACATAAGAATTTTACATAATTTTCTACTGGTACTGAATAATATATCTGAAACAAAACATATTAAATTCCCCTGCCTCCTTAAAAAGAAAATCAAACCTAATTCTTTATGACAACTCATAGTGTTTTGCTATTATCCTGAAGAAAGTGAGTTACTTAGATGGGAAAGAATAGAGAGCTGAATGACACAGGACCATCACTACTCGGCCATGTGAAAAGAAATGCCTTCAGTCTCTCCATGGCTAAACAACCACCTGGGAGGTAACTTCCTGAGCAGCATGCTAATACCTTCCGGAGTACATAAAATGCAGGTGGATGTTGGCCACTTCAGACATATAAATATGATTC